TGAGAGGAACGGGGTGAGCGGGGAGGGGTGTGCTAAAAGAAACGCGTTCACGCTGTTTGCATAGGGCCTGAATGATTCTAGGGAGGTGACATGGCGACCAACCTTACTTTAGGATCCATGCTTGTCATCGTACGTCTACCGTGGCGTTCGCTCTGGACCTCTAAAAATATGATGTCAAATTTTTAGTCTTTTCATAAAAAAAATAGGTGGAAGCCCTATGTGTGATTTCGAGCATGAAAGCAAAACCAAATTCAATATAAAATTAGTAGCAAATGTATGCAAATCCTAAAAGCGCATTGTCACATCGCATAGATGAGAGCGACATTTCTCTAAAGAAGACGAATACATTTCTTGTATGATTTGGACTCTCCGCCGCCAAAAGAAGCACACTTATAATCAAATAAAGTGAAGTGGGTATAGGACCAGATGCAAACCACCAATCACCATCCGATTGTCAAATATTTTGGACGAGCATGTACGATTTCTTTTAAGACCGACAACGCACACTAGCTGGCATCTGGTTGGCTTTAGTTGGTTCTCGAGTGTCCCTTGAGTTATTTTTCTCAGTGTTACCAAAACCAGAAATTTATATATGTGAAGTAGAAAAAAGAACCTATTTTACGGTTTTAACTCTTCATAAATAAAACTAAGAAGAAATATATCTTACTCCTATGAGGGAGGTGACGTGGCGACCAACCTTGCTTTAGGATCCATGCTTGTCATCGTACGTCTACCGAGGCGTTCGCTCTGGACCTCTGAAAATATGATGTCAAATTTGTAGTCTTTTCATAAAAAAATAGGTGGAAGCCCAGGTATTTTTTTACCTTTAAAATGTGTGTGATTTCGAGCATGAAATCAAAACCAAATTCAATATAAAATTAGTAGCAAATGTATGCAAATCCTAAAAGCGCATTGTCACATCGCATAGATGAGAGCGACATTTCGCTAAAGAAGACGAATACATTTCTTGTATGATTTGAACTCTCAGTCGCCAAAAGAAGCACACTTACAATCAAATAAAAGTGAAGGGGAGTACATGACCTGATGCAGACCACCAATCACCATCCGATTCTCAAATATTTTGGACGAGCATGTACGATTTCTTTTAAGGTCGACAACGCACACTAGCTGGCATCTGGCTAGCTTTAGCTGGTTCTCGAGTGTGCCTTCAGTTATCTTTTCTCAGTGTTACCAAAACCAGAAATTTATATATGTGAAACGAAAAAAACTATTTTACAGTTTTTTTTGCGATGGAAATAGGGTGTTTTATTCCAAACTCACAGAATTACAATCCTTAGCAACAAGTCTTACTCCAGTTTCAACTCTTTCTAAAACTAAAAAGAAACATATCTTACTCCAGTGGTGCAATTTTTTGTCCGGTTTGAAGGTACGATTTTTCACCGCTGACCAACCATCAAAACCACTTGCATACTCACCCCATAGGTTGGTTAATTTCCCACGGCGGAACTCATCGCGTTATCGGCCACATCATCGAATTCGGATGTCATGGCATTTGAATCGGCATATATCTTTTCTTCTAGAAACGCAAATCAACGTTCTGACGTCCATCCAAAGAGAAGAAGGGCGACATAGCGTGATAAGGGATTTCTGTTTTTAGATTATGGCTTGATATTGGATGCCGACGAGGCAAGGCATGCGTACGTTACGTTTGGTGCACATGCCCTAACCACGACGGTTTAAAGACCAGCGGCGTTTTGGGCGGTTTCGGCGTCAACCACAACCGCGAGGTGGAGTGTTTTGTAGTAGTACTCCTCGGAGGCAGGCATGAGCTGGGTACACGTCGGAGATCAGATTCCGGGGCCCCGCCACATCCGTCGCGACTCCCAGACTATTCTCCACAGGGAAAGATACGCGCTGGGCGGGCGGGCCCACGGCACCAAGAATTCCAGCACCTTCCCTCGCCGACTGGCGGGGCCCATGCCCGCAACTTGCCCGGCGACGCGCGACGACACCGCGTGCGTTTCCTTCCTGCTATTTGACTCCAGCTCACGTCCGACTCCGCACGCTCCCGTCCGCGAACCAGCGCGAGGTCCCTGGACCGGGGGCGATCCGCAGCTGTCCACGGGGGAACGGACGGCCGATGCGGCTCCGGTCCACCGGGCCCTCGTGGGGAGAAACGCCCACGGCTATAAAGGCAAGCGGCCGCGCCCCGTCAGCTCATCCGGTTGGTCGGTCTCCCTCCCTCCCTCCCTATCGTCTGTTTCCTTCGGCCGAAAAGCTCCCCGTTCCCTGCCCCTGCTCCGCCCCTCGTCCCCAGCCTCCGCTCCGGTAAGCGCCCCGAATCACATATGTTTTCCTGCTTCCTGCGCCGGATTTCTGCGTGGCGCGCGCGTGTCTCGTTGTTTGGGTGCCCCGCGCGGTTTTGTTCTGGGTTGAGCTCGTCCCGTGGATCTATGGATCCTGGTGGAACCTTCGACGTAGCACGTATGCGTGTGGCTCTTAGCTCTTGCCCGGCATGGGAGAAGATCTCGTGGTTCATGGGGTTTAGAGACGCGCTGATTTTGGCCTGGATAGTTAGGAAAAGATGTGTGGTTCTTGGTTGAATCTGTCAATAAAAAAAGGGGCGTCCAGTCCAAGGCTCCAAGCTGAGCATAAGTTACTGCTATTTTATCATCTATTGTTAGAGTTGCTGTTGGTTAGCGTCTGGAGATGAGGATTAAGGAAATTGTAAAATATTTCCGTGGCCTTGATGGTCTATCCATTCCACGGAACTGTTACTGAAAACGGTCGTACTGTCCTTTCGTGATGAAACGCTTATTACTTGTAGGACTCAATCGGGGCACCTCTTCCGTTAATTTTTGCTGTCCGCTGAATTTGCTTTGAGTTAACCGTGTAGGATTCATGAGAATAGCAGCTTGCAGTTCTTATCAGTTCTCGATGAAAACCCGTACGAACAGTACGGAGCACTGTTTGACATGAGAAATGAATAGTGTACAGCATGAGCTGGTTATGCCAAAAAAAAATGTCAGCAATTATGCATCGCTTTCTTTCTGTAGAGGCTCCTACCCAATCAGAGTACCCTATCCTAGCTAAGCTCGAAATTTCCCTTTTGTGCATTATATATGATGGATCCACAACGCTTCCCGTGCCGTCCCCGAAAACCCTGCTCATGCAAAACATGTGCGAGCACTTGCTCTGTACGCGTCCCCCACCTAATTTAGGCCACTCTTGGCCGGTGCCCATGTGACCCGCGATCCAAATTTCTACTCCCTACTTGCCTCACCAACCTCCGGAATTTTCTTGTGATTGCAGCTCTTGGTAATTGGATACATGGCCTCACCCGCCACACCGACACAGTCCACCGGCGCCCAGGAGGAGGCCGCGGCCCGCCAGTCGCTCATCGGGATCTCCCAGTCCACCCCGGCAGCAGGGGAGGCCCTCAGCGTCAAGTCGCCGAACGGCCGCACGGAACACGGGCAGGACGACAGCGGGGCGGCCGACAAGTCCAGGTCGATGCTCATGTCCATCTCCAACCAGTCCCCGGAGGCTCGCCAGCCCACGCCGTGCCCGCACAGCAACGCCGCTTAAGCTTGATATTAGCCCTGTAATAGTACTGATTAGCCCTGCAGCCGCATCTGTCGATATGTTGCGCACCCTTGTGTGGCGCTCTTAATAATCGCCATGTTCCTGGGTTTTCGGTGATGAAATGATATGCAATGTGGAATACTACTGATTACATAGTTACGTGCATGGGATGCGAGTCTGGTGTTGCTCCGATTTGGGTGTGGAATTTTCGTGTATATGTAGTGGCCTAGGAGCATATATAGCCGACTTGGTAAATGCGATCCCTCAAATGTTCGTGGATAGTGACCGGTCATCTTTTAAATAGTCGATTCGACAAATGGATACTTTAAATTAAAAACCTCAAGGCTTCATGCGTGCCCATGTCCAGTGGCCGGCTGCGGCCCTCAGAGTGTTGGTTAGGTTGCCGGCGAGGTAGAATAGCACATGTGACATGAGCCGGCTCACGGGACTCAAGGCAACGCGGTTGCGGTGCCTGGACTGGTGCACCATACGGGGCACCGGAAAATGCGACTCCGCCTCGCCAACGTGCCGCGAGGGCTGCCGCCACCTCCCACGCCTGCTGCCTCGCACGACGCGCCATGTTTGCGTCGGCCTACGCTCATGTTGTGTTCACATCCGCCTTGGCGCGCCAACAGAGGAGTTGCGCATCCGCCACCGTGTTCGATCACTAGACGGACCGCACCGCCTCTGGTGAGGCAACGATGCCATACCTCGCGGCTGATCCATGCGCCATTTGTTCTGATGCAATGGATTTCCGACGGAAGGAGTCCAAGCGTTGTCGTCGGGCGGCCTCCTCCCATGAACGGTGGAGCGCAAGTCGAACGATCATCTTCTTCTCGAGGCTGCGTGGGATGTGCTTGGCGTCGACGGATCTGAAGGTGTAGGACTCAGATCCACTGCCCGCCATGCCAGAGAAGGCCGGAGATCTCCGGACGGGAGCTTGGGGGTGGAGTGGAGTAGAGGGAAGGGGTGGAGTGGCTAAGATTTGGTCCGGTAAACAAATGCGGATGATTATATGTAGGGTTGGGTGGGTCAACGTGGGTCGGGTCCGACATGACGAACGCGCCCGATCGCACCCGGGTCGACGGATCTGAAGGTGTAGGACTCAGATCCACTGCCCGCCATGCCAGAGAAGGCCGGAGATCTCCGGACGGGAGCTTGGGGGTGGAGTGGAGTAGAGGGAAGGGGTGGAATGGCTAAGTTTGGTCCGGTAAACAAATGCGGATGATTATATGTAGGATTGGGTGGGTCAACATGGGTCGGGTCCGACATGACGAACGCGCCTGATCGCACCCGGGCCTACTCATATCCGTTTCATATTTGGGCTAGATATGAAGGATGCCGGTCGCCCGTGTGTTTAAGACCGGTTTGAGACGTCCGTTTGAGTTGGATTTTTTTTTACAGTTACTGACTGCACAAACGTATGAGGAGGATTTGAGTCGCCCGGCTCTAGATTGTGATCATCGCCGTTCACTGGTGGATGTCTAGCTCCACGGCATTTCGTTGTTTTAATTGACATGTATCAGCCGTCGTACAGTCCCAACGGCTCATCATGCGCTGTTCAGACATAGATCTCCACGGCAAAGCTTGTCAACAGCGAGTAAAAAGCATAAAACACCACAATTGTGCAGCAAATACCATTTGCCACCACTTTTTAAAAATTTAATACTCTCTTGAAATAGGCTTTCATCCCACTATATTAATATAGCAACCATCCGACACACCATAGAGTCCAACACTGAGGCAAACAACACAATCATGCCGAAAAGGAAAAAATAAGAGAAAAAATGCCAGAAGCACCGGATCAACGAAAGATGTAGTATCCCGCAACCGTTGCGCCCTCCGGAGAATTCCACCACACTCCTATGCCCCTAAATTGCCGCGTACCAAGCAAAACCTTTAAGAAGGAGTGTGACGATGACGACGTTGCTACCCGGACGAATCATAGGATTTCTCCCGGTACACGAAGGGAATCGGTGGAGGGGGACTCCCGACGCCCTTTAAGAAAGATGGCGACGCACACAGGCGTCACTGCGCCGGTGCCGACCAGACCCGATAGGGATTTCTCCCGACCCCTCATACCCACAACCCAGGACCAACCGCTGGCTCCACCTTGCCTTTCGTCTGCCAACATGCGCCACCACAGTCACGAAGACACTACCGTCGTCTCACCACAACAGATGCTGCAAGGCCGGCCGGACCAAAATGAAGCCACCGTTGACAGGGCCCGGCAGTACCGCAACCACGTGGGAGGGGACAACCTCCACCAGCTCAGGCGGTAGCAGACCGGACGCAGCAGCAGGAGCACACGAGGCCAACTGCCCGGCCAGGCCCAGATTGGGCCCGCTAAGCTCCTGTCACCGCGCTGCAGCAGACGCAGCACATTAGCCGCCGCCCCCGTCGCCTGTAGTTCGCCCGCTCCAGCCGGAGGCGGCCTGCAGGAGTCCAGGACGGCCCGCCATGACCCAGATCAGGCCCAAAGGGCCCAGATCTGGGCTTTCTCGGTGCTGCCGGCCAACCCCCGCCGCCGCCGCCAAGGGGTCGCGCCGTCGCCACTCCCACCGTCCGACATGCACCGGAGCACCACCAGCCGAACCACAGCGCCGCCGGAGACGCCCGCCCGAGCCGGCATCCTCGTCATGAAGAAGAAGGGGCCCGCCACTGCCGGCCACAACAGCGCCGCGCGGGTAAGCGCCCGACCGCGCCAGCCGACAACAGCGGCATGAGGGGAGGTGGGAGGGGGCTTAGGCGGCGAGGGAAGGAAAGGCCGCGCCGGTCGCCCCGCTCGGGGAGGCAACATGGGGGGTACGGGGCTTCAAAAATTAATACAACACAATCCATGTTTTCTACAAAAGATTAGAGTTGAGTTCGGTGCATTCTGTTAATTCTTTGAAAAGTTGTGGCAAACGATATCATTGTCGTAATTGTGGTGATTTTATGCTTTTTACTCCGCTGACGCGGCGGATGAGGAAAAGCATGGGTTCTTTGCGTGAAGCAAAAACACTGCAAGGATTGTCAATAGACTTCCACTGTCGCGCTAATTTTCTAAAATCCAAATCTGATCCACTCATCTAAAAACAAAAATGGCAAATGCCATTTGTAACTATGAGCAAATTTTGTTTATGCAATAAGACATTCACTAACAATTAACTGCCGATTTGTTTTCTCATCTTGTGATTTGAACAGACTGGCTCGGTCCGACGATGGAGAGGCAACTGCGGCAATACTCCATCTACTCGCTTGGGGGAACAAGACAATCCCTCGCCCCACCCCACAACTCCTCGTGCGCGGAATATGTTCAGTTATCAACATATCAGGACACCAAGGTTCCTTTGAGACATAGGGGTGCTTTTGTAGTCCGATCCCGCCATGACAAGTTATGCTAGGGGAGCGTGGGTGATGTTGTTTGGGAATATATCTATCGGGCAACATTTTCCATCTAAGATGTATCCATGACTTTTGAAGTTTACATATACATTTCTTACATTTCATGCAATACTCTGTAAAATTTGGAATGCTGTATAATATTCGGTCAGAGTGTAGATTTGCATGTTTACATGTCAGTGATTTCATGATCCTTTCTGAACTCCAAAAAATCTACACAAAACTAGGAGACGATTTTTTTAGATGACGAAGACTTGCCATAGTAGAGGGACAGGGGAGACATGTGGGCCCCAACATAGGCACTCCATGGTGCCTCCTCCGGGCATTGAGGTGACGAACAGGGCGGGCTAGGAGCAGGTCGACAAAAAGAAGGGCGATGTCGGTGCCATGTAGCTTCTTCCTGGCCGTGACCGCCAGAGAGGAAGAGGGTCCAATGGATAAGATGACGGTGACTTGGCAGATAGTTGGCAATGGGCGAGGACAGGGGCAGTGGGAAGGAGCATGCCACTAGTGAGGACGAAGATGTGAGCGACGAAGGGGTGCGAGGGGATGACAAAGAGGGTTTCTTCTATTAGAAGGAAGTAGAAGAACTCCTAGGAAGAGGGATCTGAATGGAGATGACGAGGAGATTAGGGGAGAAACAAACATGTATTTTTCACGTGGCGATGTCATATCGACAATAATTTCTTTCAACTTCACGTTACTCAAATATCTCGGATAGAAATCCTCTGAATTTTTTATCAAGGAGGTTATGGGATGTCGGATTTTAGCTCCTCAGAGCTAGGAAGTTCAGGTCGACTCCACGCTTGGATCTCATGAGGAGAGTTTCTAACGGCCAACCTATTCTAAAGTTGGGGGTAGGGGGGAGGAGTGATTAATTTGTGATACCTTATGCATAGTGTAAGTGCATCTAGTGCCCCTTAGTGATTTTCGTGTATTGAAGACTTATAAGTTAAGGGGCTGATGCGTTTGTGAGTGTACACAGGTCTGTAAGTCTATGAGTTTGATATTTACAGAGAAAGTTGACCCCTAAAAATGAATGTCTTCGACTGAAGACTTTGGATTTCTTAAGACTTTCTGAAGACTTTGAAAGTGAAGAAATTGGTGTAACCATGAAGAGTTGGTATTCATACGAGGAACATGAAGCGTGAAGCCTTTTGTTTTCGTAGTTTCATTTTTCTCTTTCTTGAGTCATAGAAAACACCATACTGTTAAAGGGGGTCAAGGAAATACCAAGGAAAAATTTCCAAGTGATGCTTATCTCAAAATCCTACACCTACCAATCCCTTCGAGTGAAGCCATTGGAAATCTCATACAGCTCAGTCAATTTCTTCAGTGACAGAGACGAAGTTCTTCTGGTCTCTGAGGAATTTGTTCTGACTGAGGAGTTAGGAATTCGCCAGTGCGGATTGCCTATAGGTGAGGAACATGATAGTCCTGAGGAATTTGATAGTCAAATTTCCGATCATTGCTGTGCTATGCGCCAGCTGTCCCAAAATATCTTACCCACCTAACGGTCATATCATTGAAGGGCATTTATGTCTTACCATGTCGGGCTGCTCCCTAGGCTATAAATTGCCGTGCCCTACAATCACTAGCTGGTTGGCTGCTCCGAGAGA